ACCACAAAGATCCAACTCCTCCAAATTTGGACAGTACAACCGACCAGGGTCACTAACCACAAAGATTCAACTCATCCAAATTTGGACAGTACAACCGACCAGGGGTCACTTACCACAAAGATCTAACTCCTCCAAATTTGGACAGTACAACCGACCAGGGTTACTAACCACAAAGATTCAACTCATCCAAATTTGGACAGTACAACCGACCAGGGTCACTAACCACAGAGATCTAACTCCTCCAAATTTGGACAGTAGAACTGACCAGGGTCACTAACCACAGAGATCTAACTCCTCCAAATTTGGACAGTACAACTGACCAGGGTCACTTACCACAAAGATCTAACTCCTCCAAATTTGGACAGTACAACTGACCAGGGTCACTAACCACAGAGATCTAACTCCTCCAAATTTGGACAGTACAACTGACCAGGGTCACTTACCACAAAGATCAAACTCCTCCAAATTTGGACAGTACAACTGACCAGGGTCACTAACCACAAAGATCTAACTCCTCCAAATTTGGACAGTACAACTGACCAGGGCCACTAACCACAAAGATCCAACTCCTCCAAATTTGGACAGTACAACCGCCCAGGGTCACTAACCACAAAGATCAAACTCCTCCAAATTTGGACAGTACAACCACCCAGGGTTACTAACCACAAAGATCCAACTCCTCCAAATTTGGACAGTACAACCGACCAGGGTTACTTACCACAGAGATCTAACTCCTCCAAATTTGGACAGTACAACTGACCAGGGTCACTATTATTAACCACAAAGATCCAACTCCTCCAAAAACAAATGTTCAAAGACAAACAACACCAAACAATGGATGATCCAGATTACACAAAGACCAAGGGACAAGAATGTGAACAACTGCATGTTTCTGTACGGCCTTTAATAATAAGCAAAACTCATACTTTTTATACGACCGCAAAAATTAAAAATTTTTTGGTCGTATATTGGTATCACATTGTTGTCGTCGTCGTCAGCGTCGTCCGAAGACAGATGGTTTCCGGATAATAACTTTAGTATAAGTGAATAGAAATCAATAAAATTTTAATACAAGGTTAGTAACCACAAAAGGAAGGTTGGGATTGATTTTTGGGGTTATGGTCCCAAAGGTTTAGGAATTAGGGGCCAAAAAAGGGGCCCAAATAAGCATTTTTGCAGTTTCCAGACAATAACTTGTGTTTAAGTGTATGAATCTCTCTGAAATTATATCACAAGTTTCCATACAACAAAGGGATGGTTATGGGGGGTTATGGCTCAAACCATTTAGCAATTAGGGGCAAAAAAGGGGGAAAAACAAGGGTTTTTATGGTTAAAGGACAATTTAGACAATTTAAAAGCAGCTGTAAGGGAGGTAATCCAATCCATTTAAAGAATACTGTTGTATATATGTTTGATTACCCCCCTTACACTGCTTGTAAATTATGTATTAAGAAATAATGATTGTCTTTAGATGATTAGCTGTAAATTTATTTTAGAAGTTGCTATTAATTAATATTAATTTTAACCATGACTGTATGTCATTTTATATTTTAATATTTTATGATGTATTTAAATGAGTAGTTATGGTTGCAAACTCTATTAGAAATTTGAATTGAGATTATTTTTGGAATAAGGGAAAGGGGGAGTTGAAAAAAAATTGGGGGGGGGGGAGTAAATAAAAATTTGTAGGGGGCTAAAATTTTTCTCATTTCAGATTTCAGAAATTAAAAAGAAAATTTCTTCAAATATTTTTTTTTTTTGGGCGGGGGGGGTTAATATTCAACAGCATAGTCTATTGCACAAAAGCAAAAAATTGAATATAAATTCAAATCATATAACCAATTTTAAGTTCTTTGACTACAGTTATTCTGTGTCAGAAACCTATTATGTGTCAAATATTTAATTGCAATCCAAATTCAGACCTGTATCAAGCGCGAATATTGTGTCCATTTTTGCCCCAACTGTTCAGGGTTGGACCTCTGTGGTCATATCCTGCTGAGCTCAGCGAAGCATTTTATTAAGTAAGCTATAAAAGACCCTGACATGTGGTAGACATAAGTGTTAAAGTTTATCATTGTAAGATTCTATGAGATGACAAGAATTTCAAAATGTTTTACCAGAAGTGTATTTGAGATTAACGTTATTGAAGAAAAAATCTTTAGAAACATTTTTTTTTTTTAATGCAAAACTTACTTAATATTTTGGATAAAGGACAGCTTGAACTTTTTGGAATTTTGGGTCCTCAATGCTCTTCAACTTTATACTTGTTTGGCTTTATAACTATCTTGATCTGAGCGTCACTGATGAGTCTTATGTAGACGTAACGCGTGTCTGGCGTATTAAATTATAATCCTGGTACCTTTGATAACTATTGAAAGTGTTAGAAGCAAATATCCTTAAGAGATAGCTTAAATGTAAATGTGGAAGGGTTAGCAGGAAGGAGATCTTATTTCTAGTTCTAATATGAGGGTTTTCTTTCACTTTGTAAACAAAGTCACATTCCAATAAAACATAAGGTCCACTTGGGTGAATTCTCAATTAAAATTGCAATGTCAGGGGTACAAAAATTGTATTCTGAGTGATGGAGATGATAAAAATGGATACTTCTGTTGGTCTTGCTCATAGGAAATTGAATAAAATCATTTTAAAGTAATAAGTCTACATGTATCTGTACACTTTTTAATAGTGATAGTTTGTTTTCTTGAGCATTTTTATACGCCCGTCAAAATTTTGACAGGATGTATTATGGTATACAAATGTCCGGCGTCTGTCTGTCTGTCTGTCTGTCTGTCTGTCTGTCTGTCTGTCTGTCTGTCTGTCTGTCCGGCGTCCACATGTTGCACCGTAACTTGAGAACGACTTATCCAAATTTCATGAAACTTAATGTAGTTGTTCCTTATGATGGTCAAACGATCTGTATACTTTTTGGTGAAAATAAGATAACCTTTTTGAGTTACGGGACTTTGTAACTAAAACAGGGGGTGTTTTTTTCACATGTCCACCGTATCTCAAAAAGGATTAATAATTATTGCTTAAAACTTTACACACTTCTTAGTTATATTAATCTAAAGATCTGTATACTTTTTGGTGATGATTCAAAATTTTATTTTAGAGTTATTAAGTTTTTTGTAAAAAAAGGGGGGGGGGGGGGGGGGGGTTGGGTTTCACATGTCGAGCCGTATCTCAAAAACGGTTTATGATTATTGCTCAAAACTTTACACACTTCTTAGTTATATTAATCTAAAGATCTGTATACTTTTTGGTGATGATTCAAAATTTTATTTTAGAGTTATTGATTTTTTTATAAAAAAAGAGGGGTTTTCACCTGTCGTGCTGTATCTCAGAAACGATTTATGATTATTGCATAAAACCTCACACACAAGAAGACGGGCGTATCATGCACTTGTGGCGCAGCTGTTTATTGATTCATCAAATAAAATAGCTGCCTTTCAAATGTGTCTGAAAGGTCTGTTTGGAAATACTTTCTATTTAAAATCCAAATTATTCTTTCATGTCATGCTCTATGCTCATTTTAACATGGGTAGGCAATATATTTGTTTTTTTTTTTTTAAATTCACTGAATACACTGAGCGTTATCAGGTGTATACAAATGCTGATGGAAAGAGATCTAGTTTATAGAAATTTTTTCAAACTATATAATAGTTGGACACATCTTGAGAAAAAAAACATTAAAAAAGTGAAGTTACGAAAGATGATTTTTATACGCCCGTTTACAGGACGTATTATGGTATACCGTTGACCGTCTGTCCGTCCGTCGTCAACATGTCGGACATTAATTCAAAAATGCTTTAACCAATATACATGAAACCTTGGTGAATTGTTTATATCTATTGACGTGAGCTCCCTTTCGTTTTTTATAAATTTCAGATTAACCATTTCCGAGTTTTGGGGTTTTATTCACTAAAAAAGGGGGGATTTTCCAGTTTACGGACAATAACTCAAAAACAATTTCACCAATTTGCATGAAACTTTGGTGAATTGTTCATATCTATTGACCTGAGCTCCCTTTCGTTTTTTATAAATCTCGGATTTATTTTCTATTCCTTTTTTTCCCCATTATTTTCTATGTTTTGCCCATTGAATACTTCATCCAGACCCTCATATCTCCTTTCATCTTACAAGATCTTGTCACAAAGTTGTGATATTGTACCTGTAGTGATGATAGTACAGATGATTTAACTAAGATCAAACCTTTTATGGTTTTGACAAATAGAAGAAGTAACAGTATCTTTCACAATGCTATTATATAATACAAAGCTTTTGTCAATATAAAACCACTAACGTTATTGTTCTTTTTGATCGAAGGTTATTTAATTAAAAGTCATGTGAGTTTAACATTAACAATACCAATATAAAAATCAGAAGATGTGGTATGATTGCCAATGAGACAACTCTCCACAAGCGACCAAATGACACAGAAATTAACAATTATAGGTCACTGTACGGCCTTCAACAATGAGTAAAGCCCATACCGCATAGTCAGCTATAAAAGGCCCCGAAATGACAAATGTAAAACTATTCAAACGAGAAAACTAACGGCCTGATATATGTACAGAATAATGAACGAAAAACAAATATGATATACAGCAACAAACGTACAACCACTGAATTACAGACTCATGACTTGGGACAGGCACATACAGAATGTGGCGGGGTTAAACATGTTAGCGGGCGCCCAACTCTCCCCAATGCTTATTTACACTATTAAGTCGCTTTAAATTTTAAAAGTTTATTTTAGTGATGAATACATTGGTTTTCTTATCTACAGTAACTGTGGTTAATTATTATTTGCTGGGTACTTGAATTTTGATGGGTTTTGACAAACCAAGAATTTAAATTAAATTCCGTGTGGTGAACCAACGCCTGTGAAATCGTTTTGGTAGAGTCCCTGAAGTGGATACCTTGGTATGCCGGGTTGTCAAATCATGCAAATGAATGCAATCCTTAAATAATAATTAAAATTGACAACAACACTTCAAAAGATCTGCAATTTTATTATCTATGTCTACATGTTTCGCCTGCAAGGCAGGCTTCATCAGGACAATTTTTATACAGAATTTAATCCCTGAAGTACTCAAAGTGGTGCATGAAATTTGACGTCGTCATGGTGAGAGAAACAATGAAAAGTGAAAGTAGCAATACAGAGTTATAAATAGATAAGATAAATATAGAAAATTAAAGTTTGTTTACAATGTAACTTGAGTTTGTTTTACTATTATATGATACATGAAATTGTTCTAATGGCTTGGTATCTAATTGGACGAACTTCCCATGGTTCCTACCACTTCGCAAGGCTTCTCTTCCAACCTGGCCATTGTTGGAGGTTACTACTTCCTGGCGCGTCGGCAACACATAGGAAGATTATGGTCGCCGCTATGTAAAATAAAATTGTCAAAAAATGTTCCCTTGTTAATTATTTGGTGACTCTCTATAATTTTTGGATCGTCTGCAGTAGTTGTTCTGTTTAATAGCATGGTTGTGAATTCCTAGTTCATTTAAGATCGGCGCCCGTGGTACGTTTTTTCTGCTAACAGTTATATATATATGTTAAGGTGGTATCGGATTTCTTGGTCATCTTGGTTCAGTTGTTATTTCGTCGCAAGTATGGAATATTCCTTGGTCCATGTATATGCTGGTGGCCTGTAGATTGGCGCGTGTAGCAAGGCGGTTCCTTTCGGATGCAGGGGTTCACGATTAAATAATAAATTAAATTCCGTGTGGTGAACCAACGCCTGTGAAATCGTTTTGGTAGAGTCCCTGAAGTGGATACCTTGGTATGCCGGGTTGTCAAATCATGCAAATGAATGCAATCCTTAAATAATAATTAAAATTGACAACAACACTTCAAAAGATCTGCAATTTTATTATCTATGTCTACATGTTTCGCCTGCAAGGCAGGCTTCATCAGGACAATTTTTATACAGAATTTAATCCCTGAAGTACTCAAAGTGGTGCATGAAATTTGACGTCGTCATGGTGAGAGAAACAATGAAAAGTGAAAGTAGCAATACAGAGTTATAAATAGATAAGATAAATATAGAAAATTAAAGTTTGTTTACAATGTAACTTGAGTTTGTTTTACTATTATATGATACATGAAATTGTTCTAATGGCTTGGTATCTAATTGGACGAACTTCCCATGGTTCCTACCACTTCGCAAGGCTTCTCTTCCAACCTGGCCATTGTTGGAGGTTACTACTTCCTGGCGCGTCGGCAACACATAGGAAGATTATGGTCGCCGCTATGTAAAATAAAATTGTCAAAAAATGTTCCCTTGTTAATTATTTGGTGACTCTCTATAATTTTTGGATCGTCTGCAGTAGTTGTTCTGTTTAATAGCATGGTTGTGAATTCCTAGTTCATTTAAGATCGGCGCCCGTGGTACGTTTTTTCTGCTAACAGTTATATATATATGTTAAGGTGGTATCGGATTTCTTGGTCATCTTGGTTCAGTTGTTATTTCGTCGCAAGTATGGAATATTCCTTGGTCCATGTATATGCTGGTGGCCTGTAGATTGGCGCGTGTAGCAAGGCGGTTCCTTTCGGATGCAGGGGTTCACGATTAAATAATAAATTAAATTCCGTGTGGTGAACCAACGCCTGTGAAATCGTTTTGGTAGAGTCCCTGAAGTGGATACCTTGGTATGCCGGGTTGTCAAATCATGCAAATGAATGCAATCCTTAAATAATAATTAAAATTGACAACAACACTTCAAAAGATCTGCAATTTTATTATCTATGTCTACATGTTTCGCCTGCAAGGCAGGCTTCATCAGGACAATTTTTATACAGAATTTAATCCCTGAAGTACTCAAAGTGGTGCATGAAATTTGACGTCGTCATGGTGAGAGAAACAATGAAAAGTGAAAGTAGCAATACAGAGTTATAAATAGATAAGATAAATATAGAAAATTAAAGTTTGTTTACAATGTAACTTGAGTTTGTTTTACTATTATATGATACATGAAATTGTTCTAATGGCTTGGTATCTAATTGGACGAACTTCCCATGGTTCCTACCACTTCGCAAGGCTTCTCTTCCAACCTGGCCATTGTTGGAGGTTACTACTTCCTGGCGCGTCGGCAACACATAGGAAGATTATGGTCGCCGCTATGTAAAATAAAATTGTCAAAAAATGTTCCCTTGTTAATTATTTGGTGACTCTCTATAATTTTTGGATCGTCTGCAGTAGTTGTTCTGTTTAATAGCATGGTTGTGAATTCCTAGTTCATTTAAGATCGGCGCCCGTGGTACGTTTTTTCTGCTAACAGTTATATATATATATGTTAAGGTGGTATCGGATTTCTTGGTCATCTTGGTTCAGTTGTTATTTCGTCGCAAGTATGGAATATTCCTTGGTCCATGTATATGCTGGTGGCCTGTAGATTGGCGCGTGTAGCAAGGCGGTTCCTTTCGGATGCAGGGGTTCACGATTAAATAATAAATTAAATTCCGTGTGGTGAACCAACGCCTGTGAAATCGTTTTGGTAGAGTCCCTGAAGTGGATACCTTGGTATGCCGGGTTGTCAAATCATGCAAATGAATGCAATCCTTAAATAATAATTAAAATTGACAACAACACTTCAAAAGATCTGCAATTTTATTATCTATGTCTACATGTTTCGCCTGCAAGGCAGGCTTCATCAGGACAATTTTTATACAGAATTTAATCCCTGAAGTACTCAAAGTGGTGCATGAAATTTGACGTCGTCATGGTGAGAGAAACAATGAAAAGTGAAAGTAGCAATACAGAGTTATAAATAGATAAGATAAATATAGAAAATTAAAGTTTGTTTACAATGTAACTTGAGTTTGTTTTACTATTATATGATACATGAAATTGTTCTAATGGCTTGGTATCTAATTGGACGAACTTCCCATGGTTCCTACCACTTCGCAAGGCTTCTCTTCCAACCTGGCCATTGTTGGAGGTTACTACTTCCTGGCGCGTCGGCAACACATAGGAAGATTATGGTCGCCGCTATGTAAAATAAAATTGTCAAAAAATGTTCCCTTGTTAATTATTTGGTGACTCTCTATAATTTTTGGATCGTCTGCAGTAGTTGTTCTGTTTAATAGCATGGTTGTGAATTCCTAGTTCATTTAAGATCGGCGCCCGTGGTACGTTTTTTCTGCTAACAGTTATATATATATGTTAAGGTGGTATCGGATTTCTTGGTCATCTTGGTTCAGTTGTTATTTCGTCGCAAGTATGGAATATTCCTTGGTCCATGTATATGCTGGTGGCCTGTAGATTGGCGCGTGTAGCAAGGCGGTTCCTTTCGGATGCAGGGGTTCACGATTAAATAATAAATTAAATTCCGTGTGGTGAACCAACGCCTGTGAAATCGTTTTGGTAGAGTCCCTGAAGTGGATACCTTGGTATGCCGGGTTGTCAAATCATGCAAATGAATGCAATCCTTAAATAATAATTAAAATTGACAACAACACTTCAAAAGATCTGCAATTTTATTATCTATGTCTACATGTTTCGCCTGCAAGGCAGGCTTCATCAGGACAATTTTTATACAGAATTTAATCCCTGAAGTACTCAAAGTGGTGCATGAAATTTGACGTCGTCATGGTGAGAGAAACAATGAAAAGTGAAAGTAGCAATACAGAGTTATAAATAGATAAGATAAATATAGAAAATTAAAGTTTGTTTACAATGTAACTTGAGTTTGTTTTACTATTATATGATACATGAAATTGTTCTAATGGCTTGGTATCTAATTGGACGAACTTCCCATGGTTCCTACCACTTCGCAAGGCTTCTCTTCCAACCTGGCCATTGTTGGAGGTTACTACTTCCTGGCGCGTCGGCAACACATAGGAAGATTATGGTCGCCGCTATGTAAAATAAAATTGTCAAAAAATGTTCCCTTGTTAATTATTTGGTGACTCTCTATAATTTTTGGATCGTCTGCAGTAGTTGTTCTGTTTAATAGCATGGTTGTGAATTCCTAGTTCATTTAAGATCGGCGCCCGTGGTACGTTTTTTCTGCTAACAGTTATATATATATGTTAAGGTGGTATCGGATTTCTTGGTCATCTTGGTTCAGTTGTTATTTCGTCGCAAGTATGGAATATTCCTTGGTCCATGTATATGCTGGTGGCCTGTAGATTGGCGCGTGTAGCAAGGCGGTTCCTTTCGGATGCAGGGGTTCACGATTAAATAATAAATTAAATTCCGTGTGGTGAACCAACGCCTGTGAAATCGTTTTGGTAGAGTCCCTGAAGTGGATACCTTGGTATGCCGGGTTGTCAAATCATGCAAATGAATGCAATCCTTAAATAATAATTAAAATTGACAACAACACTTCAAAAGATCTGCAATTTTATTATCTATGTCTACATGTTTCGCCTGCAAGGAATTCACAACCATGCTATTAAACAGAACAACTACTGCAGACGATCCAAAAATTATAGAGAGTCACCAAATAATTAACAAGGGAACATTTTTTGACAATTTTATTTTACATAGCGGCGACCATAATCTTCCTATGTGTTGCCGACGCGCCAGGAAGTAGTAACCTCCAACAATGGCCAGGTTGGAAGAGAAGCCTTGCGAAGTGGTAGGAACCATGGGAAGTTCGTCCAATTAGATACCAAGCCATTAGAACAATTTCATGTATCATATAATAGTAAAACAAACTCAAGTTACATTGTAAACAAACTTTAATTTTCTATATTTATCTTATCTATTTATAACTCTGTATTGCTACTTTCACTTTTCATTGTTTCTCTCACCATGACGACGTCAAATTTCATGCACCACTTTGAGTACTTCAGGGATTAAATTCTGTATAAAAATTGTCCTGATGAAGCCTGCCTTGCAGGCGAAACATGTAGACATAGATAATAAAATTGCAGATCTTTTGAAGTGTTGTTGTCAATTTTAATTATTATTCAAGAATTTAAATGTTCAATGAAATGTAAATTTACTAAAGGCTTATATGCAAACTTTGTCAAAACCACAAAATCAAGTTTCCACCAAAATACAGTTTTCATCAATACACAAAATATAAAAGAGTAAATTCGCTTGTATCTGTGGTCATAACTGTACCCAAGGATAAATGAGAGACCAAGAGTTAAATGTTTTCAATTTACATAAAAGTAATAATCATTTTATTATTGTTTTCAAGAGATAAAACTTTTCAGCAGATACCATATTGTAGATACACTTTCTTTGAATTCAAATCAAAGAATATTTGTGATACATGTCAATGAGGTAACAACCAAACAATCCAATTAAAAAAAACACCACAAAGTTCATCGAGAGGTCAGCAGAGTCTAGACAAATTATAAATACCGTGGATTCATTTATTTTCGTGGATTGAAGAAAATTGTACTTTGGTGGATATTTGAGGTCATGGTTTTTCCAAACAATGTTTACCTAACTTTGTGGAATCCCATTGTTTTCCACTGGTATTTCACTGGTTTTTCAAATGGAATTCAGTAGAACACAGTTTTCCATTGTAAATATGAGTATTTAGTGCTTGACATATTTTATAGACACATTAAATGTTGAAGACTATGTTGATCAATGTTGAAGACTATGTTGATCGTTGTTGAAGACTATGTTGATCAATGTTGAAGACTATGTTGAACAATGTTGGAGACTATGTTGAACAATGTTGAAGACTATGTTGATCAATGTTGAAGACTATGTTGATCGTTGTTGAAGACTATGTTGATCAATGTTGAAGACTATGTTGATCGTTGTTGAAGACTATGTTGATCAATGTTGAAGACTATGTTGATCAATGTTGAAGACTATGTTGATCGTTGTTGAAGACTATGTTGTTTAATGTTGAAGACTATGTTGAACAATGTTGGAGACTATGTTGAACAATGTTGGAGACTATGTTGAACAATGTTGAAGACTATGTTGATCAATGTTGAAGACTATGTTGACCAATGTTGAAGACTATGTTGATCAATGTTGAAGACTATGTTGATCAATGTTGAAGACTATGTTGACCTCTAAATCGCTTAATAATTTGAGTTTTTAGGTTGCTGTCTTATTGGTGTATATCCTGCATCATTCATAATTATATAATTATAAGTTTATTTAAGACATTTAGGTGCTAATATACTAAAAGTTGAGGAAAAAAAACCTCAATAATGTGCTGCCAAATACAGTCATAACTGACATGGCCTTTGGCATCAATTCGTTTAATAGAAGATGGCTTCTGTCTATATTAAGATTATTTACAGGAAACTTTAAAATTGGGCACGATTAATTATTGCCTTTGTTCATGTTAATGGAAGAAAGAAGATAATGAAAATATAGAAAAAAACCTTTTATGATTTCAGATTGCAACTAGAAAAACATTTATTGGGAGGAAATTATTGAAATCGAAATAGAATAACAGGAAATTTGTTCTAGAATTATCAACAGCCATTTGTATGATTAAAGATCAATTGTAGTGGATAAGACAGAGTTTTTTCAAAAATGGTTTTAATGATACATTGTTTTCACTGTTTTCCAATTAAACACTGGTTCAAATTGGTGCAGGTCGAGGGTCAGAGATCTTTCTTTTTTCGAGGTGACGTTTAAACTCATAAGCCGTTAACCCTTACATTGATTTTTGATACCATAACTTATATTTGTAATCTTGTATTTTTGTCTTTTGTGCATTAAAATAGCAATAATACTTGTAAGTGCACACAAACATTTCTGAATTTTAAAGGTATTCATTTGCACAATTTGAAAAACAATGTTTTGCTACCAATTATAGACATTTAACCTTTGGGCAAGAAAAAAAAAATTGCTTTGTAAAACAATCAATGTTCTTTTTAAAATTGTCTTTATTGAAATCAATTATGCATTCCAATTTAAATTTATGACACCTATTTCTAAGTACTGCATATATTACTGAAACCATGATCAGCTATTATGGCCAAAAGTTTGAGTAGTTAAAATATAAAAAAGTTTTTGAGCATCAAAATTAGAATTTTTATCAAAATCATTATTAATGATATCAAACTTTATGATTGGAAATAATGCCTTCTTTTGCTTTATTGGTTCCAACCCATATAGAGCTATACTAACCCAACCCTAAACTTAGCCATAACTCATGTCTTACTACAATAACCAGCCTATTTTTAGGCACATTCCAAAACCAGGTTTGATTGATTAATTGATTGGGATTCAATATCAAAAGAAAACTATTACAGGAAACACATAAGGATGAGAGAAAAAGAAAATTCTTAGTTTGATGTTGCTTACCCATGCCTTGTAGGGTTGGGTGGGTAGGTAGGTTTTTTTTTTTTTTAGCCAACAACATAAGTTACATGTGTTAGACAAGAAAACGATGTTAGAGCAAGAAAAAGATGATTTGTTTCATAAATGTATTCAGGTAGGCTGCTATTTAGGTAGATAGGTAGGCAACATCTTACATTAACAATAACAATTTTAATTTTTTTTTTTTTATAACTTCATATATTTCTTTTTTCAGAGGTCATGCTGCATATGGAAGTGGAGTTAATTTGATTCGCAACAAAACACAAGTAGGAGGTATGTTATTGAAGTATACACCATGCAGGTCCATAGCCAGGATGTCTGTTGATCGTCGTCCTTCATTTTTGGGTAAAGATTGCATGAAATGCAATCAAAACCCTATGATGCTGACTTGATACCTAAATCTTCCAAGGTTTATCACTACTTTTTAAATACACAAAATATAGTGCATTGACCATAATTTTCTAAACATCCTATCCATGAACATTTCCAGAAATTTATCAATGAAATATATGCTCAGATATTCAAGTTACAAAATGGTGTTACACTTGTCAAGAAAATTTCATAACTTTTGCAAGGTGCAGTAATCTAATATTTGTTCTAAAGATATCAATGATGTCATTGTTAAAGTAATCTTTAAAATTGGAGTTATCTTCCTTTGTCCATAATTGTAGTTGAATCAAATACAACCAATGCTTTATATAATGAAATTTTGGACTTCCCACTGATAAATTAAAGCAATCTTTACCTTTCAGTGCTTTCAAGCACTTTGATTATTGTGTTTTTACTTAGTATCTTAATAGATAGGTAGAAACTTTAATAAGCAAAAATGATCAGCAAATAGTGCAAAGGAGATAGAGAGAAACTGTAAACAGAAAAAATTATCAGTAATAAAAGATCAACAAAAAAGAGATTTTTGTCATGAATTCTATTCTAGTCGACAATGTGTCCATTGTTAAAGATGCAAATAGACCTAGTTGAATGACACAACCTATTTAGTGCCTCTAGTTATTGTTGATGTGGAAGGATCCTTGTTTTTTTAGAAAAACCAGATACTTAAATTATCTTTAGGTATATATGGAACATAAACAGATATATTCAGGGATTTTTAATGTAATTAAATTTGAAGGAGACTAGTTGTTAGGTCAAATCTCATTAATAACCATAGTAACTAGTATTAACTTTTGTTTCTATTTTTGTAGCAACCTATTTTATGACCTACCACACTATACTGAGGACGAATGAGGACTTCATTGGAGCTTTGCGTGAAGCTAGGAAGATAGGAGAAAATATAACAAACACCATCACTACTAAAACTTCTAATGCAACTGTATTCCCATACAGGTAAGTTATTAATTAGGATTGTTGTACATGACACTTATGTTATTATTTTTTTCAGAAATTTTTACCTATACTATGAGCTGTACCTGACATTTGTACATGACACTTGTGTTATTATTGTGCAGTATTTTCTATGTATACTACAAGGAGTACCTGACATTGGTACATGACACTTGTATTATGATTGTGCAGTATTTTCTATGCATACTATGACCAGTACCTGACAGTTGTACATGACACTTATGTTATTATTGTTCAGTATTTTCTACTATGAGCATGATGAGCAGTACCTGACATTTGTACATGACACTTGTGCTATTATTTTGCAGTATTTTTTATGTATACTTGAGCAGTACCTGACATTTGTACATGACACTTGTGTTATGATTGTGCCATATTTTCTATGTATACTGTGATCAGTACCCGACAGTTTTACATGACACTAACGTTATTATTGTTCATTATTTTCTTTGTACAATGAGAACTTGATAGTCGTACATGGCACTTATGTTATGATTTTTCAGTATTTTCCATGACACTTATGCTACTATTTTTCAGTATTTTCTATGTATACTACGAGCAGTACCTGACAGTTGTACACGATACCATATTTAACATCGCTTTGTGTATGGTAGCCATCTTTGTTGTCACCTTTATCCTGATTGGATTCGACTTTTTCTCTGCCATAATGATTGTTCTTGTGGTATCCATGATTGTTATTGATATATGTGGCATGATGTACTTCTGGGATATTACACTTAATGCTGTTTCATTGGTCAATCTTGTGATGGTAAGTTGTCATTGTTCATGATTTAGGGTCCTGAAGGGGTTTTAATACAGAAAAGAGAACAATGGGGATAAGAAAAAAAAGAGCCAAAAAATAAATTGATTGATTGTAGGTTGATTAACGTCCATTGACAAATATTTCATGCATGTTTAGAATGATAAAAAATACAAAAAAACTACAGAATAGAGAATAATGCGGTGCTAAAATATAAAAAATAGAGAAAATTACCGGAGAAATTCAAAAATACAGAAATGAATATCCTGTCCATGTTTGATATTGAAAAAAAGAAATGGCACGTAAACATTATTGTTTATAACTGTTTTATGATAATTCATTGAATAATCGAGATTATGAAATACTTTCAGTGTTCCCAAAGATGTTTAATTTTTTTAAATGGCCTCTTATAACCATAATTTACCTTTAATATTGTGAAAAGTTTTTCTTTCCATAGAGATTATATTATAAATTTATTTGCTTATCTTTTAGGCTGTTGGTATAGCTGTTGAATTTTGTGCTCATATAGTCCGAGCTTTTGCTGTGAGTTTACAGCCAACCAAACTAATGAGAGCAGAGGAAGCTCTTGCACATATGGGAAGCTCTGTGAGTATATAAGCTCTAGCACATACAGGCATCTGTTTCAGAAGGATAGGTTTATCAAGGTTCAAACTTCCTATTCCAGGAACAAACAACAACCACTAAATTACAGGCTCTGACTTGGGACAAGCACATATAGAATGTTGCTGGGTAAAACATGTAAGTGGGAGTCCAACACTCCCCCAAACCCTCCTATACATATTTAAAATCTTAAATTCCGTGTGGTGAACCAACGCCTGTAAATCGTTTTGGTAGAGTCCCTGAAGTGGATACCTTGGTATGCCGGGTTGTCAAATCATGCAAATGAATGCAATCCTTAAATAATAATTAAAATTGACAACAACACTTCAAAAGATCTGCAATTTTATTATCTATGTCTACATGTTTCGCCTGCAAGGCAGGCTTCATCAGGACAATTTTTATACAGAATTTAATCCCTGAAGTACTCAAAGTGGTGCATGAAATTTGACGTCGTCATGGTGAGAGAAACAATGAAAAGTGAAAGTAGCAATACAGAGTTATAAATAGATAAGATAAATATAGAAAATTAAAGTTTGTTTACAATGTAACTTGAGTTTGTTTTACTATTATATGATACATGAGATTGTTCTAATGGCTTGGTATCTAATTGGACGAACTTCCCATGGTTCCTACCACTTCGCAAGGCTTCTCTTCCAACCTGGCCATTGTTGGAGGTTACTACTTCCTGGCGCGTCGGCAACACATAGGAAGATTATGGTCGCCGCTATGTAAAATAAAATTGTCAAAAAATGTTTCCTTGTTAATTATTTGGTGACTCTCTATAATTTTTGGATCGTCTGCAGTAGTTGTTCTGTTTGATAGCATGGTTGTGAATTCCTAGTTCATTTAAGATCGGCGCCCGTGGTACGTTTTTTCTGCTAACAGTTATATATATATGTTAAGGTGGTATCGGATTTCTTGGTCATCTTGGTTCAGTTGTTATTTCGTCGCAAGTATGGAATATTCCTTGGTCCATGTATATGCTGGTGGCCTGTAGATTGGCGCGTGTAGCAAGGCGGTTCCTTCCGGATGCAGGGGTTCACGATTAAATAATAAATTAAATTCCGTGTGGTGAACCAACGCCTGTAAATCGTTTTGGTAGAGTCCCTGAAGTGGATACCTTGGTATGCCGGGTTGTCAAATCATGCAAATGAATGCAATCCTTAAATAATAATTAAAATTGACAACAACACTTCAAAAGATCTGCAATTTTATTATCTATGTCTACATGTTTCGCCTGCAAGGCAGGCTTCATCAGGACAATTTTTATACAGAATTTAATCCCTGAAGTACTCAAAGTGGTGCATGAAATTTGACGTCGTCATGGTGAGAGAAACAATGAAAAGTGAAAGTAGCAATACAGAGTTATAAATAGATAAGATAAATATAGAAAATTAAAGTTTGTTTACAATGTAACTTGAGTTTGTTTTACTATTATATGATACATGAGATTGTTCTAATGGCTTGGTATCTAATTGGACGAACTTCCCATGGTTCCTACCACTTCGCAAGGCTTCTCTTCCAACCTGGCCATTGTTGGAGGTTACTACTTCCTGGCGCGTCGGCAACACATAGGAAGATTATGGTCGCCGCTATGTAAAATAAAATTGTCAAAAAATGTTCCCTTGTTAATTATTTGGTGACTCTCTATAATTTTTGGATCGTCTGCAGTAGTTGTTCTGTTTAATAGCATGGTTGTGAATTCCTAGTTCATTTAAGATCGGCGCCCGTGGTACGTTTTTTCTGCTAACAGTTATATATATATGTTAAGGTGGTATCGGATTTCTTGGTCATCTTGGTTCAGTTGTTATTTCGTCGCAAGTATGGAATATTCCTTGGTCCATGTATATGCTGGTGGCCTGTAGATTGGCGCGTGTAGCAAGGCGGTTCCTTCCGGATGCAGGGGTTCACGATTAAATAATAAATTAAATTCCGTGTGGTGAACCAACGCCTGTAAATCGTTTTGGTAGAGTCCCTGAAGTGGATACCTTGGTATGCCGGGTTGTCAAATCATGCAAATGAATGCAATCCTTAAATAATAATTAAAATTGACAACAACACTTCAAAAGATCTGCAATTTTATTATCTATGTCTACATGTTTCGCCTGCAAGGCAGGCTTCATCAGGACAATTTTTATACAGAATTTAATCCCTGAAGTACTCAAAGTGGTGCATGAAATTTGACGTCGTCATGGTGAGAGAAACAATGAAAAGTGAAAGTAGCAATACAGAGTTATAAATAGATAAGATAAATATAGAAAATTAAAGTTTGTTTACAATGTAACTTGAGTTTGTTTTACTATTATATGATACATGAGATTGTTCTAATGGCTTGGTATCTAATTGGACGAACTTCCCATGGTTCCTACCACTTCGCAAGGCTTCTCTTCCAACCTGGCCATTGTTGGAGGTTACTACTTCCTGGCGCGTCGGCAACACATAGGAAGATTATGGTCGCCGCTATGTAAAATAAAATTGTCAAAAAATGTTCCCTTGTTAATTATTTGGTGACTCTCTATAATTTTTGGATCGTCTGCAGTAGTTGTTCTGTTTAATAGCATGGTTGTGAATTCCTAGTTCATTTAAGATCGGCGCCCGTGGTACGTTTTTTCTGCTAACAGTTATATATATATGTTAAGGTGGTATCGGATTTCTTGGTCATCTTGGTTCAGTTGTTATTTCGTCGCAAGTATGGAATATTCCTTGGTCCATGTATATGCTGGTGGCCTGTAGATTGGCGCGTGTAGCAAGGCGGTTCCTTCCGGATGCAGGGGTTCACGATTAAATAATAAATTAAATTCCGTGTGGTGAACCAACGCCTGTAAATCGTTTTGGTAGAGTCCCTGAAGTGGATTCCTGTACGAAATGGGACGCCCGTAAATGACATGGAAACCAGGCGTAGAAATCATACTTTATCAGGGCGTCATTGTAGTGTTTAGAGAATGCATGTCCAGGCGTCAACCAGGCGTAAACCAGGCGGAAACCAAGCGTAACTGAGGCGGAAACCAGGCGTAAAATAAGGCGTAATATTTAAATGAGTACGCCTGGTCCACAGAAAACCAGGCGTTATATGCAAATGAGTACGCCTGGTCAATAAAAAAAGCAGGCGTAATATCCTTACATAATACTACACTTATTTTAAATCAGTGTATTACCCTAGCTGTGTACTTTTGTGTATTTGATACAAACTTCTGTACTATTGCTTAAATTTCTCATTTTTTGACATGAAACTTGAAATATTAACCATTAATTGATGAAGCTATATAAATAAATATATACATATTAGACAGACACTGGCTCAAATAAGTTTAAGTTTAAATTAGAATTATGACAATTAATTCTTACTGAAATAAAACCAGCATTTTAACTAAGTGTTTTTTTTAAATTAATGTCATTTGAACCAAAATATCAATGATAATACTGCAATTTAACTTAATGTGAAAGATTTTAATGTTATCATCCAAGGATGAAGGTTTTCAGAATTCAAAATTACTGTTAAAAAATAAAACTTAGTTACTCACATAATTATCTTTTACCATGTATATTACTTTCCTTTTATTTCACAATTTTCATTAATCAATTTGATTCCATAATTCCAATTTCAAATTCTTCCAAAAAGCACAAAACAAGCTTAATTATCACTGAATATATAAAGCTGCCATAAGTCCAACTCTTGCAAAATAATACCAAGGAGCAAAATTTTGAAAAAAAAATCCCATGATCCTTTATCAACAAAGCATTATGGGTATTATGATTTACGCCATACCAACTGTTTTACGCCCGTAGGAAAATTTACGCCTTGCTTATTTCAATTTACGCCAGGTTTACCATATTTTCTACGCCCGTGAGGACTACAAATTTACGTTTCCTGTTCCCTTACGCCTGGATCTGGACACGTAACTACCACTTACGCCAGGTTTACGCCAGATTTCCAGGCGTAATACGCCTTATAATTTCGTACGGGTACCTTGGTATGCCGGGTTGTCAAATCATGCAAATGAATGCAATCCTTAAATAATAATTAAAATTGACAACAACACTTCAAAAGATCTGCAATTTTATTATCTATGTCTACATGTTTCGCCTGCAAGGCAGGCTTCATCAGGACAATTTTTATACAGAATTTAATCCCTGAAGTACTCAAAGTGGTGCATGAAATTTGACGTCGTCATGGTGAGAGAAACAATGAAAAGTGAAAGTAGCAATACAGAGTTATAAATAGATAAGATAAATATAGAAAATTAAAGTTTGTTTACAATGTAACTTGAGTTTGTTTTACTATTATATGATACATGAGATTGTTCTAATGGCTTGGTATCTAATTGGACGAACTTCCCATGGTTCCTAGCATGCTATTAAACAGAACAACTACTGCAGACGATCCAAAAATTATAGAGAGTCACCAAATAATTAACAAGGGAACATTTTTTGACAATTTTATTTTACATAGCGGCGACCATAATCTTCCTATGTGTTGCCGACGCGCCAGGAAGTAGTAACCTCCAACAATGGCCAGGTTGGAAGAGAAGCCTTGCGAAGTGGTAGGAACCATGGGAAGTTCATCCAATTAGATACCAAGCCATTAGAACAATCTCATGTATCATATAATAGTAAAACAAACTCAAGTTACATTGTAAACAAACTTTAATTTTCTATATTTATCTTATCTATTTATAACTCTGTATTGCTACTTTCACTTTTCATTGTTTCTCTCACCATGACGACGTCAAATTTCATGCACCACTTTGAGTACTTCAGGGATTAAATTCTGTATAAAAATTGTCCTGATGAAGCCTGCCTTGCAGGCGAAACATGTAGACATAGATAATAAAATTGCAGATCTTTTGAAGTGTTGTTGTCAATTTTAACTAATATTTAAAATCTGTTACCTAGATCCATCAGCTCATAATATAAAGTCTATTCATGACCCATTATAATAATAAGGATATGTGGTATGATTGTCAATGAGACAACCCACTGTAGCATGTGGATGTAAGCAACTATAGGTCACCTTATTAATAAAGTTAGCTTATATTACAGATTACAAATGTATTGATTATTGTGATTGGACAACAACACAGACATGTAAGTTTATATTCCAGACACAGCCTGGGCCTGCGGCTGAGGGAATATAAACCCTAAACTGGGAATTTCACATTATATACCCTGTCTGAGACCTGAATAACATATGATATTGAATAAGACAAGAAAAAAAAACAATTTTTGGCTTGTTAAATTATATATTTATGTCTACTAGAATTCAATGATGAGTTATTATCCCCAAAAATTTTTAAATTAAACTTTTTGGGTTAAAGTCAAACAATAAAGTATATTTATGTGTTCTTTCATGTGATGTCAAATTTTATACAACTTAAGTATGTACAGATATCAATGGGCCTTCCTAAACATTTATGATTTTTGCATTCAAATCTTATTTATCTTTTCAGGTACTTAGTGGTATAACATTAACTAAGTTGGGAGGAATTATTGTTTTAGCTTTTTCTAAGTCCCAGCTTTTCCAAGTATTTTACTTCAGAATGTATCTTGGAATGGTATTGTATGGTGCTACACATGGTCTTATATTCTTGCCAGTGTTACTCAGTTATATAGGTAATGTATTTAATGAAACTTCAGAAACTATTGTATATATTTGTATTTCTCAGTTTGATAACTTTTGATACACCAATTGATGATTAAAATTGTTGCTTGAAATTTCCCACCATATAAAAATAAGAAGATGTGGTATGATTGCTAATAAGACAATTCTCCACCAGAGACCAAATGATGTAGAAGTAAGCAACTATAGGTCACTGTACGACCTTCAAAAATTAGCAAAACCCTTACCGTACAACAAGCTAAAAAAGACCATGATAGGACAAATGTAAAACAATTCAAACAAAAAAACAAATGGTCTCATTTGTACAAAACAAAAAACAAATTTGATTTACAGCAAGAAACGACAATCACTGAATTACAGGCTTCTAAATTATATATCTATTTGGACCATTGTACTTGGCATTTACCTTTAAATCATTGAGAAACAAATTCTACCACCAGACTCCATAGAAGCTAGAGAAAGGCAATAGGATGACAAAATTATTAGAAAAATCACTTATGTTCAATGTATATGCACTACGTTTACTGGTATATACATGAAATGCTCGAAAAATGATCTTCAAAAATGTCTTCGGTTTCGAAATTCAACATGGTGTGTTTGTACATGTAGGACATTCTTTTTAACCCATATTTAGATGGGACAGCCAAAACTCAAAATCAAGTTTTGTCATGATTTAACTATTACATGAAATATAAATAAACTAATATTAGACATATCTTAAATAGGCATCTTTGTCTTTTTTTAAGGTCCACCAATAAATAAAGCCAAACTTTATGATGCTCAACAAAGAAGAAAACATTTGTCTGCAGACTCAGACAATGATGACATTAATTCTTCTCGACAGAATCTTGTGAGTGATAGTGGTGCTCCGCCAGATTATAACACCTTAGCTGATCCAGCACTGTGATAGAAATATCTTCTCTCTCCTAAATATTACAGAGTTATCTGCTCTTTATTTGTTCAGGAGTAGATTATTCTATTGAGCAATTGATCCATCGGTTATAAACAATTGATCCATCGATTATTAACTTTTGATCCATCGATTATAAACAATTGATCAATCGATTATAAACAATTGATCTCTGAGATTATTAACTTTTTTTGTCAGGACAAAATTATGTATTAAATTGTGGATTACAATCATGTAAATTATTGGTTATAAAGGAGGTATTTTAATGTACTCTTAAGATTTATTAATTTTCTACCTTCTGATTTTCTTGAATAACTGATACAGAAGTGGGTTTACGTTGAATGCATCATCTGAACTCTGAACTAAAATTTGCACTGTTATTGTATTGTTGTCATGTTTTAGACAAATAATTTGGTAGATGGAATATTTGTTGGCTTTATTTTGAGGGTCTGGATGGGGTTTACAGAAAAGAGAATAATGGACCAAAAAAATAAAGAATAGAGAAACATAAGCAAAAAATATAAAGAATGGAAAAAAAATCAAAGAATACAGAATTGAAGGAACCCCATCCAGACCCTCTATTTTGCATACAGTCTTAAGGAATATAATGTTGACAAGAGTTCTCTGTTAACATTTACATATTTCTTTGATGTCTTATTTTTTTTATGTCAGGATGATAATCTTGAGTCTTATTCCTAACTGCTTATTATTAATATGCATTCCCAGATTTGATCGACACTATTGATATAACTCAAGAACTTCTATTTCAGTATAAAAATCAAGTTGAAGCAAAATATTGTAATCCATTTACATTTTTTTTCCATATTTTAAAGGGTAAACAAACATTACTAGGTTTGCTGTCTGTCTCAACGCAATTGTCCAAAACAATCTGGAGTTGTTTCCCTTTGACTACCAGTGAAAAAAAAAACTCCAGAGTAACTGCTGTTTACTTTTAAATTGCAAAAATCTGTTTGATTGCAGAGTAACTGCTGTTTACTAAATTAAATATTTTTTCTATTGCATATAGTAATAACTTTTTGTTTTTTGATGCAGTATGTCTCATAAGTCGATCTAAAATTTTACCGATCATAGCAAATTATATGTTAGATTTGTTTTTTGCTGTTAAATTATTAAGGCAAGGAATATGAATAGCCATAGTAAAATTAGGTCATTTTTACCTAATGATAAATCAAAATTCAGGAATGTCAAATTGAAGTAAAAATATTCTGAAACTATTATGATCAAAACAAACAAATAAAGATTTTATTTAATTTGATCATGAAAGAGAACAAATTCATCATCCTCGTCATTATTAGCTCACCTGGCCCAAAGGGCCAAGTGAGCTTTTCTCATCACTTTGCGTCCGTCGTCGTCGTCCGGCGTCGTCTGTTAACTTTTACAAAAATCTTCTCCTCTGAAACCACTGGGCCAAATTTAACCAAACTTGGCCACAATCATCATTAGGGTATCTAGTTTAAAAAATGTGTCCGATGACCCCGCCAACCAACCAAGATGGCCGCCATGGCTAAAAATAGAACATAGGGGTAAAATGTAGATTTTGGCTTATATCTCTGAAACCAAAGCATTTAGAGTAAATCTGACATAGGGTAAAACTGATTATCAAGTCAAGATCTATCTGCCCTGAAATTTTCAGACAAATCTGACAACCTGTTGTTGGGTTGCTGACCCTGAATTGGTAATTTTAAGGAAATTTTGCAGTTTTTGGTTATTATCTTGAATATTATTATAGATAGAGATAAACTGTAAACAGCAATAATGTTAAGCAAAGTAAGATCTACAAATAAGTTGTCATGACCAAAATTGTCAGTCGACCCTGTTAGGAGTTATTGCCCTTAATAGTCAATTTTTAACAATTTTTTGTAAATTTTTGTAATCTTTTTTCAAAAATCTTCTTCTCTGAAACTACTAAGACAAATTTAACCATACTTGGCAATAATCATTATTAGGATATCTAGTTTAAAAAATTTGTCCGATGACCCCGCCTTCCAACCATCATGGCTGACTTGGTTAAAAATAGAACATAGGGGTAAAATGCAGTTTTTGGTTTATATCTCTGAAACTAAAGCATTTAGAGCAAATCTGACAGGTGGCAAAAATGTTCATCAGATTTAGATTTATCTGCCCTGAAATTTTCAGACGAATCCGACAACCCGTTGTTGGGTTGCTGCCCCTGAGTTAGTAATTTTACAAAAATTTTGCAGTTTTTTGTTATTATCTTAGATATCGTTATAATATCTAATATCTAATACTATTAATTATGATTTTAACCTTATTTTACATGATTTCCAAAGCATCAGTAAATACAGGTGAGCGACACAGGCTCTTGAGAGCCTCTAGTTTTTTTATTGTCATTGTTCACTTCTTCATAAATGTTGCATTTTTGTGTGTGCCTTTATAACAAATCTAATTCAGGATCACAATGTATAAACATATTACTCCACACAATTATAACTATAGATTATCAATGGTTTTTCAAACAAGAGTGAATTTCTCAGCTTCAATCTCATCGAAGGGCAAGAAACATCCTTGAGTTTGAAACACCATTGATAATCCATTTATCGTTATTTTGCCTATAACTTTGTTAGTGTTTACATTGACAACGGCACATGCGCCCTTAGTTTCTGATGATAGTTTTCTATCTCAAGCGAGTAGCGTGATTTGAAAAATTATCACAAGAAAAGATCAGAGGAAAAATACACAAAATAGTGATAATTACACTTTATCATTGTAGTATACTCATGTTTTGAATGTTTGATGCTTTCATATATAACAGCAACAGAACAAAGAATTAAGTACTATTTTCAGGGAAAAATGTAGGGGGGATTTGATAACAATATTTTTTATACTACATCATCCATAATTTTCATTTTCATTTGTAAGAGATTTGTATTTGTTGCCATCCCTATTACCCACAGAAAACAATAATGTAGTGTCTAACCTTCCAGTAAACTCTTCCTTGAATATCCCTACAGTAAATTGCAGGGTAAACTTGTGATACTATCATTTTCTGCTAAATATATAGCATGAGGCCTTTATACATCATCTTTTGGCAGTATGAACAGAACTGACGGAAAAGACTAATCAAATGGCATGTACTTATCAAATTCATAGTCTGGTTGTGAAATGCCATTCTGTGTGGGTTTTTTCTCCATAGGCAGACAAGTTTTAACAGATTTAGATTTAACATTATGGCACTTATACCATTAGAATGTAAAAAGTTATACTGTAAATTCACAAATTATTGCAAGGTTTTTATCAATTTGAATAATGCGACTAGGTGAGTATCACAATAATTAGAACTCACATCTGATATCTGATACAAATATCTCTATGCAGCTTTTCCTGAAATCACAATAATTAATCTCTCATTTTTGTCCATTCTTCAAAAATAGCAATAATAATAAGCACGCAATAATTTAATTTCTGAAGTTACAGTATTCACTAAGACCAAAGATCAAATTGAAATTAGAATTCTTCATTAATCATTTATAACAGGTATAATACATGTAAATGTATATGTTTATGATGATTTCTTTTTTTTTTTAAATTAAGTAAATAATTGAAACATTTTTCATTTGAAATTGATAATTATTTGTTTGCATTGACAATTACTAAGCTCAAGGTCAGTAGATATATTATTAAGATTTTAAAATGTACAAAATACTATGTATTGATTAAATTCTTTGGATATGTGAATCAATTTACATGGATTTGATGGCTTTGAGGAAAAATGAATATAAATACTCCTTAAAACACAAATTTAAGGTACAGTCAGAGGTCAAAAGTTTTGCACACCTTGAACATTAGTCTTATATTTTTCTCATAAAAACACATTGAAAAAAATTATCCTTAAGTCATTTCTTCTCAAATTTGAATGGAATTTTTACGATTGAATTCAGAAATATCTAGTTTCTTGCAATAATTTGAAATAATTTTTTGAATTATATTTTTAAAGAAACCACTGTTTAAAGACAAAGCATGCAAATATATATGGATATAAAGCATGTGAAGGGAACAATTTCAACATATCATTTCCCAGTAATGACACTTCAAAAAATAGTTCATAATTACCATGAAAAACTACACATGAGTATAACAGTTAAGGAAGTTTGCTTGTCATGTTTTGGAATTTTTGTCAGATTTTCGGAATCCTCTGGTTTTATCTATGTGAATGCCTTAAAAAAATTTTGCCCATTGACCTCCATTTTTCTTTTTATAAATCTTTTACATGTATAATTATAAGCCATCTGTAAAAGTCTTATAAAATCTTTGTTATTTTTTAATAGTTTTTGAGAACTTGAACTTTTAATGGTAAGGCTATGAAAGTCAAGAGAGAACATTTTACCGCCAAAATTTCAATGGCTAATATCTCGAAAACAAGCACATTGACCTATATATTTTTTTCGCTCTTTTGGTTCCTTTAATTATTCCCTATCAATATATACTAGTTTTATGAAAAGCTTATTATTTTGAAATTGAGTAGCAAACTTCCTTAATATTTAAGGTGGTACCTAACACTACAGGGAGATAACTCTGTAAAAATCAGCTAAACGTTTTAATAATGTTCTATTGTTAAGAAAATATTTAGCTTCTCAATGATCAAAATTAGTGTTTGTCAAACTGCTGTATAACCAATGAAATTTTTCTGATAAAGTGGTTGGTTCAAATTTTTTGAAATTTTTATATTTTTGTCAAAGGGTAAAAGTAAACATTTCGTCAAAATTTTATGAAAATTAAACGAGCCAAATTAATATTAGTCAAGGTGTTGGGTACCACCTTAATTATAATCAGACCTGAAAGAATTTGGGGCAATTACTTTTTAAAATGTGTATTTATATGAAATATATAGCGTAATTTTCAAGGTGCCAAACACTTTTTACCTTTGACTGTATATTGAAAGAACAAATTATGAGAGCGTAACAATATGAATTTTTTAAAAAGTGCAATCATCTGCAATCTTGTGTAAACTTCACGCTAATGAAATAATGAATCTGCCTTGTCAGTAATACACATGTTAGTTAAGATAGAATATTTATTGATAATTGTTATGATTATGTTTGTATCATGTACAAGTGCTTCATATATACATGTTTGTAATTGTGTATTTACAATGTTTGAAAGTGCTTATAAAATTAATCTTTTGTGATAATTTGTAAATTAAAATCAATAATCAATTTTTCTTGTATATTATTCTTTAGCTGTGTATATTTTGACCATATTAAGTTATTGGGCAATTCAGAATGGTCAGTTTTGGTAAAATTTTAGCATCATCCTTTCTCCATCCATTGTTCATCTTTTATGAATTGCATTGATATTCAGGTTTTGCAACAAATGATGAATACTGTTCTGTGAACTGTTTATATTGCAAAAAAGGAAAAGTTTTTCAACTTAACTAGTACTAGAAGCCATTTATAAGGCATGGGTAGCTGAGTGTGATTTCAATTCTCTTCAACTTCGTACTTATTTGGCGTTTTTAACTAATCCTAGTATCTATAATGAGATTATTTCCTTTATATAAGCTTAAAAAAACTACTGCTTTAAATCAAATTTGATGGTATGGATAAGTTTGCTTCAAACATTGGTAGGAGACTACTTTCATTACTTTTTTTAGTGTCTAACTACAAAGAAGACTTACAATATATCAGAAGTGACAGTACACAAAGATTGAATAAGATTAAAATCATTCTTGTTACTGAATTTTCACAGTGAATGATGCATGGTGATTGTTGGTGGTTCACTCTACAAAATGTCTCCATAGGTAATACATGATAGGGTTGCAGATTATAGCAGTATCACCTCCAGCTATCAGCAATCATCCTTATTCACTGTAAATCAATCAACACTGCCTGTCATCAACAAATCAGAATAAAAAAAGAAAAAATTGAAAACAACAGAAAACACTAAGGAAAATATTTCCTCCAACTGGAAGACATGTTTTAATAGTGATAGACCACATTCAAAATTTGTTATTTATCATTCCTAGGAGGATAGGCAGTGCCAGTTATAATAATATATTTAGTAGTAGATGTGTTAGATAGATCTTACAGAGGTAGAATTTGCCATGGCATTGTCAGTTTGTTTTTTACAACTTATGAGTTTGAATATCCATTTGGTATATTTCGTCTCTGTTATGTGATGCTAGAACCGACAGGAAACATACAAATATACACTAGCTAGTCATTCAAACCTTAATTCTTGGGACCAACTATTCGAGACATACAACAGTTTCGGATAATATGCATCAAACAAGTCTTCACGTTCATAATCATATGGGGAAAATACTGACATATATCAGGACAGATATACAATGTAGTTGGAATAATATTTCCATGTTCTCTTGCTCCTTTCTACACCAAGTCGGTTCTATATTGGAGGTTATTTGACAAATGAAAATAAAAAAAATTACGGAATTTTGTTTTTGTTTTAATTTTTGTTTGTCCATTATTATGTATTTTTGATATTTTAGCACCCCATTATTCTCTCTATCTTATTTTTAATGTCAATTTTTCTGTATTTTCAATTTTTTCCCCATTATTTTTTATTCTGTAAACCCCACCCAGACCATCATGTAAACAGAGCAAAGATCAAATTGTTTGAGGGAGTTGAAACAATAATTAGAGCAATTGCACAATTTTATGGACTGGAAATTTTCACAGATAATTCATCTTAACTTATCCTAGATAAAACAGAAACTAAATCAAGGAACTGGGCTAAATTAATTTTTATTTTAACAACACAATTGATGAATTCCAGTAAAGATCAAGTTCAAATTTGACTATTTTCACTCTTGCTGGTCAAAATCAATGGTCCTTGATACGTTGAAAAATGACACTTTATGTCCCGGACAAGCACACACAGAATGTGTCAAGTCAAACAAGCCTGAAAGCGACATATATTAGAATACATCAATTTCATTCGTACTAGCTGCCCTCTTAAGTTTAACTATGGTATCCTTCAAAATACAGAAAATTTAATAGCTCTTTTCTTGTTCTCTTTTTTTTTTTGTCCTTTCTTCTGTATTTTCGCCTATCTTGCTCTTTTCTATAAACCCCATCTAGCGTCCAGACCACCTTAATAATGTTGAGTTGTAGCGAGTAAGCAATTTGTACATCCACCGTCCAGCCACTTCCTCTTTGCCGATAGTTTGAAATTTTACAGCACTCATGGTCATTTTTTAGAAATTAATTTCACATGTTTTTAGGTAGATTCCCCATAACTTTTTTTTATTTTTGATAAAAACAAGACTGAAATTAATTGTTTGTGTTTCTTTTTAATAGATGAAGCCGCATAATTTCACAACACTACACCAAATATTGTATTTTTCTCAAAAATCCCAACTTTCTGTACAAGGAAAATTTATGTCAAACTTTTCTTGGCTGTACAGTAAGGAATAATTCTGTTTTTGTCTGCAGCTTGATTATGTGAACAAGGAAAATTTTCTACACATTTTTTTGTTCTGTCTTCAATGAAAGAGAATGATCAGTTATGCTTCAGTATACAATTTTTGTTACCGCAATCGATTGTGGTATTGGTTTTGTTCCTAAATGAAACAAATTACTGACAAATTAACAATTTGATTCTATTTACCTGAAAGAAGTAGTGGAATTAATAATCAATGTATGGTTGATTTAAATGTAATACTATTGAAAATTTAGAGAGCACTAATGTTAATACTCAGAAGTGAACTGTTTTGATGACAAGGAATAAAGGCATTTAAGCAGTCTTTGATAAAATTACAATATGTTTACATAAAAGGTGTTATAAGGATATCAATCATTTCAAAGACAGGAATGTCAAACATGACCATGACATGCTTGCCGTTAGCAATACATAATTCTTTAATAACAATTCTCAGAATTTCCCTTCAAAGATTTATTTAAGAAATTAAGTACTAGTATATACCAGTTTCCTTACACCAAACGCAAGTTCTCAAAAAAACTTATACATATCTATGATTCTAGACTTGTTTATTCTTGAGTATCGTTTGAAACATTGTACTCATTTTGTGATGTTGATCAGCAACATTTTGAATGAATGTGCCTTATTTATTTGTATTTAATGATTAATTGGTACCGTCTCATCTTTCCATTTTTTTCTTGGTGTTGCCTTTTGAGGGCATATGCAACATTTTCTTTTTAGACCATCGTGATTTAAAAAAAAAAACATTTTATTACTTTTCTCTAAATATTTGGGCCATTTTTGTGATCTTTCTTTGTTAACACTTGTATAAAGAAACCCTGAAAATCCACCAAAGAACGATAATGGGGCAATGGGATCAATTACTGGTTAAAGCACACTGAGCCCCTGAGATCACCCCGGTCGTTGGTGAGGTTCGTGTTGCTAAGTCTATAGTTTTCTTTGTTGAGTTTTGTATACTGTTTGTCTTTTGGTCGTTTATTGGTTTTGCCATGGCATCGTTATTTTGTTTTCGACTTATGAGTTTGAAAAGAGAGACGAAAGATACCAAATGAACTTTCAAACTCATAAGTCGAAAATAAACTGACAACGCTATGGCAAATAAAGAAAAAGGCCAAAGACAAACAGCAGTACTCACACCATAGAAAACTAAAGACTAGGCAACACGAACCCCAACAAAAACCGGGGACATCCCTTTGGTATCTTTCGCCTCTCTTTTATTAAGGTGGTTTTGGAGTCTGCTTGTCATCTTGGGTCGTACTAGCAGTCTAGCAGAATACAATCGTTCTTGCCTTTTTTAAATGAAGTTGGCAAATTTTGAGACAAGAATGCAATTATTTGTAAGATCTTTCATTTCAATGAAAAACGGAAATTGTTGACACACAGATTTGTCTCGACTTTTATAGTATAATGCAAATGTTGAAACTATAATAGCAATGCTTTTGTTGGTAAACCATGCAAAACATCAAAAATCAAAGAACCATGAACTGAGGTGCTGGGCCAAATAATATTCGTGGAAATCAGAAATGTCAATTCTCATAGCAGCTACCTCATCAAATCATCTTTTTTGTAATAGATTGGTGAAAAACAATACTAAAATTGGTAAATGCGTACACTAAAGGAAATACTAATTCTGCAAACAATCTAGCACCAATTTTAGCTTTTGGTATACATACTACCAAGGGACAGAAAAAAACTGTGGTAGGAGCCAAAGGACCAGGACGTACATTTCCACGAACAGGAAGTGTTATAATAGTGCTGGACCAGAACGGAATAATTTAAAATTTCATAATTAACAAGGGGAAACCTTATTTACTTTTTTCGGAGGGTATCCAGTACCAATAAAGGTAATATTTGTGTAGTAGGTGTGTTATGTAGATCTTACAGAGGTAGACTTGTGGTGCTAGGAAAGACAAGAAATATTATACGAATATACGCTGGTCATCCAAACGTAAGTTTTGGGGACGAACTTTTCACACCTTGAAGCATACTAAATGTAAAGGTCATATTTGTGAAGAAGATGTGTTAAAACGATCCTACAGAGGTAGAATTGTGGTGCAAGAACAGACACGAAATATTACACAAATAAACACTGGTCATCCTAACATTAATTCTGGGGACGAACTTTTCACAACCCGAGACATACTAACAACAAATTTAGATATTATAATTGTTACTGATGATCCAAATGAAATTCTTCACATATTTAATACTACAGGAGAAATACTGACATCTATCAGGAGAGATAAAATTAGGAATAAGAGGTAAAAACGCTATTGCTCTTAATATACAGGTAGTTTCTATATTGGAAGATTTGCGACAAATGGAAGTTCAGCTTAACTTTATGAAGTGAATGATTTTTTAAGAGATAGACAAACAAGTGACATTAATGTTGGTTAATCAGAAGGCGCATTTTCAACTGTCGCGTAAACAGAACAGCTAACACTGTCTTAAGATCAAATGGCTCGAGGAAGTTTAAACCTTAATTTAAGCACTATGGCATCATTTTGTGAACTGGAAATTCACAGAGACAATGCATCATAATCTAACCCCAAATATTGTACTTTGTACTAAAGCATAGTATGATCAACACGATGGTACCACGTGTGGAGCAGGGTCTGATTACATGAGATCTCCCCGGTTTTAGGTGAAGTTCGAGTTGCTCAGTCTTGAATTTTCTATGTAGTGTCTTGTAGATTTGTTGGTTTTTATCCGAGTTATGTTTTTTTTTTATTGCCCCTTTGATATTTTCTTCATTTTTT